GCCCATTTTCCCAGGCGCCACCCAAAAAAACAAAAAATCAAAACCAGGGGAAAAACAGGCCCCCCCGGCCCCGATCCAGCCGCCAGTTAAATAGCGTAAAATAGTTCAAACCTGAAAGGGGGCCCCTTGGACCCTAAAAACGAGGCAAATCATAATAGTTTAAACCTGTCCTAGTGGGAGGGCGCATAAAGGTGTTTTGGGAACTTTTTAAAATTCCCATGTGTAAGTCCCTGGTGGGTTGGATTCCCTCCAACACCAATTTAATTTTGTCATGGGTGCGTTCCATTAAAACGTATGTTTAGTGAAAAAAGGCTTTATTTTCCCGTTTGAAAATTTCCAAACCCCTTTACTAATTCCTTTTCTATTTTAACCCCAAAAGCCCCCCCGTAAAAATTTTTTTGGGCGTCCACGGACGCTGGACGCCCTCAAAAAGCCACCTCTGCGGTGTCTAGAGTCGGGGCATTTCATAATGTCCCCCCCAAAAATTTCCCGGGCAGACTAAAGAAAGGGCACATGAAAAAACCCCCTTAAATTTCCTAAGGATATTTTCCCCCGGGGGGTCTGTTGAAAACTCGAAGCTTTTCCCTTCTGCTTTTTGGGGGTTCCGGGATTTCCCGCTCCATAAAAAAAAGATGGTGAATTTTTTAGGGTAATTGTTATTTATGTGAAATTTTTGTTTAAAATTTTCTTCCTATTTTCCAAAAAAATAAGATGGTGGGGGGGGGGAACCCCCGGGCCCCCCCAATAGATCTGTTTTGGTTGGATCTTTTTGTTCTGCTTTTCCCAAAGTTCCAGGCTGATAAAGGGGGCGCCATGAGCCTTCGGATAGGGGGCCCTCGGGGGTCTCTTTTAAATTGCCCCCATCCCCCTGATAGTTGCCCCAGGTGGACAAAGTTCCCCAAACCCTGCCCCCCGGGGGTTCACCCCCCCCCCGACAGCTCTTAAAAACCCCAGCAAAATTTTTAAAGCGGCTTTGTCAGTGTTATAAAAACCCTTTCCTCTACTGTAAACCAATCTAATCAAATACTAAATGAAATTAAAAATAAATCTCTTTCATGGACCAAATGTGTGTTTTAGTGGAAATTTTAATGTGAATAAAATTATGAAATATCTAAATGCTTGCAAGGAACCCTTTTTCCGGTCCAGTATCCCAAAGGGATTGTAAACGATGCCCTTAAAAATTCGTTTTCATTACGGGCTTTAAAACCCCATGGGGAAAAACGGGCCCAATTTAGGTTTTTAAAAAATTTTACTAGCTCAGCGGGGAGGATTTTTTTAGCAGTAAAGGCCCCCGGGAAAAAAGGGAAATTTCCCTTGGCAAGATTGGGGATACTTACATGAAGTTTTAAACCTTTTGGGGTATTGCTATCAACTTGCAAGCAAAAATAACAAAATAAACATCGCAGGTAGATCAAACAGTTCACAGGAATTTTGCAGTCACCCAACCCCAATTTAAAAATTCCCAAAAATTTTCATTAGCGCCGATTTTTGAATTTATTTGCGATTTTAGGAGCCCCGCATCCAAAAAATTCAACGGGAAAATAAAAACCCTAAATATGAAAAATTTTTTTGTACTTTAAAAATTTTAAAAAGTATTCAAAAATCTTTTTTATCGCAAAAAAACTAAAGAAATTAACAAATTTGTGTGTACTTGAGAAAAGCAACATTGAAAAATATTTTAAACTTTAAAAAATTTTTTTTTTTTGTGCGGGCTTGCTTTACTTTTTGTTGCTCGTTTTATTTTTTTGAGGGGGTAATTTTTCAGTTTAAGGGTAAAAAGCAAAACATTTTTCATTTCAAGAAGGGCAACTAAAATCTTACCCGAGGGCCCCGGCCTTTTTGTTCATTTTTAAAGAGATTAGGCGGAATGCAGTCTTAGCGCGGTCCCGTAACCCCAAAAAAATAAACAACCTTTCGCAAAAAAAAAAAAAATTTTTTGTAAAACCCTGAAATAAGCAGAAAATAAAAAAAATTTGGTTTAAATTTTAATTTAAAATTTAAATTTTCTTCCTTTAAAAGCAGAAAATTTTTTTTTGTTAATTTCGTTACAAATTTTTTTCGTTGGGGAAAAAGATTTGAATGACTTATAAATTTTTCAAGTACCCCAAAAAATTTTATATTTTGGATTTTAAACTTTCCGTTGAAATTTTTTCATGCGCGGCTCCCCAATCCCCAATGAATTTAAAATCAAGCGCTAACGTAATATTGTGAATAAATTTTGTTTGGGCATCTGCAGAATCCGTGAACTTCTTGGGTTACCCGGAGGGTTTTTTTCGTGTTTATTTCTTGCAAATTGAGCAAATCCTAAAAAGGGTTTTAAAAAATTCAGTCTAGTTCGCAATCTTAAAACCCCCAAAAATTACCTTTATCGGGGGGTTTGACTGCTAAACCCCAAAACCCCTCTTGCTGAGCTCAGTACCCTTTTTTTTAAGGGGACTAAAAATTGGGGGGAGTTTCCGGGTTGTTGTAAGCGTAATGGAACCCAAACCCAATTTTTGGAAGAAGGCCCATCGTTTACAAATCCTTGGGCCCTTATTTTTGTGTGGGTTGAAGAGTGTCCCTTGGGGGGTGAAACCCCTTGAGGGGGGTTACAACCCTTTTTCTACCTGTGTTTCAATATTTAGGGGGGATGGGGCCCCTCGACAGAGACCCGGGGTGTCCCCTTTCCCGAAATGCCTAAAGGGGGCCTTTCATCAAACTCGGAAACCAATTTGGAAAAGCAGAAATTAAAGACTCCCAATCAAGTCAGGAATTTTATTGGGGTGCCCCTCCTCACCATTTTTGTTGAATGGGGTGGGAAGGGCTGGAACCCCCACCCCCAAACCCGATGAAACGTTCGGGTTTTCCATTTAGACCCCCTTTTAGAAGTATCCTTGGATTGAATGGTTCCTTTTATTTGCCGCTTTCTCAGTACTGCCAGGCTACGTTGGTTTTGGAATGTAGTTTGAATGCCAGACTCTTTGACTACCCCGGGGAGGTGGCAATTTGGGGGGTCCAGGCGGGCCGTGGACGCCCTAAAATTATTATTGGGGCTTGTGCTTAAAAAAGAATGTTTGTAAAAGTGTTAGGAAAAAACCCCAAAAAGGGAAAAATAAAGCTTTTTATTTTACTATTTATACGTTTAAAGAAGGCACGCATGATCCGTGAAATTTTGTGTTTTTAGGGGGTCCACCCCACCATTGGACTTCTCCGCCACGCAGTTTTAAAACATAGTTAAAATTTTAAAAGGTTTTCCAAAACACTCGTGGGCAAACCCACTAAGGTAAAACTTTTTGATTTTTTTCCTCGATTTGAGGGGCCAGGACCCTTTTCAGTTTGAACTATGGCAGCCCCTTTTATACTGCGCGGCTGAAAAATCGTTCCCCGGGTGGTGTCCTTTCAACCCTTTATGAGTTTTTGTTTTTTTTTTGCTGTCGTTTTAAAGTGTTCCACCTTTCATATAAAAAAGGGCCCTGCGTGGTAATGTTTAAACGGTGTTTTGGGGAAAAGGGAAACAGCTTGAGGGCCCGGGTCCCAACCCCCCCTCCCCCTCCCCCCCCCCCCCAGTCCCTCGATTGGCCCCCCAAAAAAAACTGCCAGCCAGCTCCCCTGGGGGCCGACTCGGGTCCCCAGGGGTTTTTTTTTGAACTGGGAGCCAAATTATGGACCGAGTTTAAGGGGCCCCCCCCGGAAGAAATTTAAAGACCTGCGTACCGAAGAAAGTGCTACGTTTACTGGTGTTGGAAAAAATCGACAACAACACAACAGCGCTTTTTGGGTACCAACCCAGTTTCAGTGGAGAAAATATGGTTTCGCCGGGCCCCCCCCGATGTGTGTGAGCAGGGGCCCCCTCCAAAGACTAGGATCGGAGGGCCCCTTCCCGTCTTCCCCCTTTCATGTCTGTTGAATTTCCAAATTTCATTAAGGGGGTACTGAAATAAAAGGGAACCCTTTTTTTTGGGCTTTCTTAGCTAAACCCGTTTAAATTAAAGTTGAAATTTACTGACTAGGGTTTTTTAAAGCCTAAAGTTGCCAAAGTAATTTATTTTTTTGTAATTGGTCAAACAATGTAACTTTTCAATTTAAAACCTTTTTTAAATTTTAGGGAATGTTTTTGAATTCCCCCGTACTTATTTTCAACCCCCAAAAAATTTTGATAGTTGTGATTTGTTTTTTGTGGAATCGGGGGAATCTATCACTTGACATGTTTTTCTTTTGTACGTAAGAAACCCCCTGCACCAGTAACTAAAAATTTGCTTAGATTTTTTAAACATTACTTTAAATATAACCCCTTTAAATGAACCCCCTTTTAAATTTGTGAAAAAAAAACAACCCTTGGGGCTATGTTGAAAACCCGGGGTAAACCAAATTTCTGGGCCCCAAAAAGGGGCCCTTTTTAATTCCTCATTTCGTTTTGAAATTTGGAAAAGTTTGTATGCTGGAAAAGTTAGAAGGGGATTGAAGAGTTAAAAAAAAGGCCCCCCCAAAATGTATTGGGAAAAAGTTTTATGCTCGGGAAAAAGGGATTTAAAATAACAACTGTATCATTAAATATAAATTTCTTATTCAAATTGTCTCAGCATGAACTTGAAAAACTTTATCATTGACTGATGTTGGCCTACATTTAGTGTTCGTTTCTTTGGTTATTTAGTGTGAGTTCTTCAATTTTAAGCTTCACCCTTTCATTTTAATATTAATAATTTTCAAGTATATATGATACCATGACCAGTCCTAACTTTTATCATGATTGTTTCTGTAGATTAAACACTGCTGAGTATACGGTTATCATTAATAGTGGTGTTCTTAAGCGTCAATTATTATTATTATGTTGCAATGGATTTCGGTCCCATACTTCCTACTTATGATTATGTTTTTGGATGTTTAACTGTGGACATACTTTAATTTTAGATTCCAGAAATTTTTATTTAACTGTCTTGCTCAATCAAATGGTTTTAGGGATCAGGAGCTCTGGAGCTATAATATGAAACACATGCTTTTAAAACTCATGGAGAAGGCAAGAAGTTCCGAGCAGAAAAAAAGGGGAATATCCTGAAGACATAAAGTCAAGCTTCAATTCTGGTTAAAAGATGAAATAAACTGAGGTTTGCCATTCAATTTATATATTCTTAAGTTTATTAATTTCATAAGTAATTATTTGATAATTTGGCTTTGTCTACTTTGCAAAGGATTCTCAAGCACTTCCTCCTCTATTCAATGTTCTAAGCTATGTTACAATATTCTCCTCCCAACGTCGACAATTACACTGTTTCTATCTACCTGAATCTCCTCTGCCCACCTCTTCTAGATTGCAGACCCACCATTCTGATTGCCAGACCCATCTTCTACGGCGGAGACCCGCCATTCTGGTTGCCAGACCCACTATTCCAGAGTGTAGACCCACTATTCTGGTTGCCCAGACCCACTATTCTAGAATCCAGACCCACAATTCTGGTTGTCAGACCCACTCTTCTAGATTGCAGACCCACCCTTCGAAAGCCGACCCTTTCAAATTTGAGTGCAGTCCCACCATTTTGGGTTTCCCGACCCACTCTTTAGGGCGAAGACCCACCATTGGGGTTGCCAGGGCCCCCTATTTCCCGGGGGTGTAGGGCCCCCCATTATGGGGCCGACCCACTCTTCAAAGGTGGGAAGGGGGCCCCCCATTTTGGTTGCCAGACCCCCTTTCTAGGTGAAGACCTACCATTCTGGTTGCCAGAAACCCCTTTTAGGGTGAGGGCCCAAACCCTTGGGTTGCCCGGGTCACTATTTTAGGTCCAGACCCCCCCTTCTGGTTGCCTTCTCCCTTTTTAGTTTATAGACCCCAATTTGGTTGGGCCCGACCCCCCTCTTTTAAAAGGGGAAGGGCCCCCCTTCTGGTAGCCGACCCCCTATTCCCGAGTTTTAGACCCACCATTTGGTTGCCAGACCCACTATTTTAAATTTCCCGTTACCCACAATTTGGGGTTTCCATAAACTCCCCTTTATCTAGTTTATAATAGACTCAATAGCTCATATACAAATTTCCAAATTCTTGTCCCCTAATATTGACATGGAAAAGGAACAGAGCAGGGCCCTTCCTTGGTAACACCAACATCTCCAATCTTATCACCAATATAACTTCCCCACTCATCCTCTTCAAAATCCAAGCTCTCTACCCAAATCAGTCACAACATGAGGGAAGAATTTGTGGATACAGGAAATCTGCCAAGGCATCCTCACCTAAATTAGAATCTTTACAATCAAATTAAACATGATTTTGAACCAGAAACATACTTAGGAGTGGTTAAGATCCCTGATGCTCGGAAAAGCTTAACAAGGTTTTGTATTAGCTGCCACAATCTTTACATTGAGAGGGGCCGTTACGAAACCCCCCCTAGTACCAAATTAATGTTCTAAGTTCTGACTGTTTACTCTACTCCTCAGTTAGAGAAAAATTTAACTTCCATCCCAAAAATATTACTGACCTAGCTAGGTTTGTACTGCCACAGCAAGAGCAATCCATTCAATTCTCTCTGTGAACGAACAATTTACAACCTACTATAAGAGCCCAGATTTCCACTCAAATACTGGCCAATGCATAATGACATAGGACCTCAAAATAAGATCGAAATCTACAAAACTGATCTATTTAAAGAAAATAGTATTATAAAACATTTCTATTTATCTCTACCACATTTGTAAATAACTAGAAATGTGTAACCTTAAATTATTTCAGAATTATAACTATTGTGAATTCAATAAAATAATTATCACTTTTGTATCCTTGAAATCTTTGTATCATTTATCCTATCCTAGACCCCCCATTCTGGTTGCCAGACCCACTCTTCTAGAGTGCAGACCTACCATTTTGGTTGCCCGCCCTTCAAGAATCTAGAGTGAAGACCCCCAATTCTGGTTGCCAGAACCCCTCTTCTAGAGTGAAGACCCCAATTCTGGTTGCCAGCCCCACTATTCTAGAGTGTAGACCAACCAATATGGTTGCCAGACCCGCCTCTTCTAGAGTGACAGCGCCCCCACCATTCTGGTCGCCCAGACCCACTCTTCTAAGTGATGACCCACCACTTTAGGTTACCAGACCCACTCTTCTATAGTGAAGACCCACTATTCTAGACTGCCGCCCCACCAATCTGGTAGCCAGCTCCACTCTTCTACCGGCGACGCCCCCCCAATTCTGGTTGCCAGCCCCACTATTCCCGCGTGTAGACCCCACCATTCTGTTTGCCAGACCCCCTCTTCTAGGCGGAGACCCACCATTCTGGTTTGCCAGACCCCACTATTCCAGAGTGTAGACCCACCATTCTGTTTTGCCAGACCCACTCATCTAGGGCGGAGACCCCCCCCGCCCCCCCCCCCCCCCCCCCCCCCCCCCCCCCCCCCCCCCCCCCCCCCCCCCCCCCCCCCCCCCCCCCCCCCCCCCCCCCCCCCCCCCCCCCCCCCCCCCCCCCCCCCCCATTTAAGACGATCACATGTGATATATTTAGCAGCAGTCCTTTAAGTTTAATTACATCTTATTATATCTCGGTGCTGATATGTATAATCATTTTCGCAGCGCTGTACCTACTGTGGTTGAGTGAAGGTCCCAACTTTGTGTGTACTCAGTCATGGTTCCCAAGTAAGCTGCTTTTTGTGACCTCCTAATTCTTATAATCGGTGACAATATCTTTTTTCATTTCATGATCGAAATGTTTACCAATTCGTGTGATATTTGATATTTGACTTCTGATAGAGGTCCTGATTCTATATTCAATGCATTGTTCTTGTCTATTACATAACCCCAGAACTTGAAAGGTTTCAGTTTTTACACGTCTAACAACCCTCGTGTTTTGTTTCAGAGCTGAGCGTGATATCAACAACCCAACGAAGCGCGAGCGGCCTCTGCTATTGTGCCAACGCGATTCTGTCACACATATGGTCCCTTCGAAGACTTATGTTCACACTACCAGGCCCCCTACATATCATCTACGACGGATGTCTTTTAAATGTCCTCCGCAAGTGACAAGCAGTTCAGACGACCAATGTTGCGTGAACTGCTATGATGATCTTAAGATGCTGGCAGGCTGTACATCACATACAAAGGAACAAACTAAGACTGATGGTTAACATAATGTTCATTTGATTATCACGCCGTGCTATGTTTTCATGTATTCGATTTAATATCTTATCTGCTTAAAAGAATTGTGTTATCATTTAGACATCAAGCTTCGTAAACTCGACATTTTCAATAGCTGCGGGCTAAACAAGTTTTCGCCATATTTCAGTCACTGTTTATCTTGTTATCATTATATCTGGTGGTTCAGACGAATACACAATCTTACGTTCCGTTAAATATAACAAAAGGCGTGGTTAGTCACTGTAAATGCATCAAAACTGTCCGAAGAAATAGCTAAAGAAATTGTGCCAAATACTGGCAAATTTTTAAAACTCTGCTCTCTTTAATTATTGAAATCCATCCAAGTAAAAAGTTGTATTACCAGAGAGGTTAAATTTAAATTTCAAACAACCTTGTTTACAGCTTCTTGGAAGAAAATGGAACCGGATTCTATTGGACGTTCTGAAAATGGTAAGGCTGAAAATGGTAGGGCTACAAAACTAAGTTGGAACACATCTTGTTTGAATACTGTTGAACCAAATTCAACTCTCTGCAACAACACAAGCAGACAAAATTTCTCAAAATCCGTTTTATCTGCTCAACTGGTTCTAAATTCTTGAATCCAGCCAAGGGTATAATGGGTGTTCTGGGAGTGCTAGGGCCACCAAACTTCGTAGGAACACTATTAGGGTCAATACCAAACGATTCCGACCTGTTTTGGGGCCATCCGACGAGTTTTAGAAAAATGTTCATTTTTGTTCATTTCGTTCATTCCATGACTCAGGGAGTCTTGGGCGACTATTTTGACGTCAAAATAGTTAGTAAACACATCCCCCTACACCGTACAATCATCTCCAGCACTCTGCAGCCCCTTTAACAGACTGAAATGACCGTATCAATATCGGATACTCACGAACCAGCTTTCTGATACGGAAATGGAATCAAGTCTCTAGTGGGCGTTCTGGGAGTGCTAGGGCCACCAAACTTTGTAGGAACACTATAAGGGTCAATACCAAACGATTCCGACCTGTTTTGGGGCAATCCGACGAGTTTTAGAAAAAATTTCACTTTTGTTCATTCCGTTCATTCCATGACTCAGGGAGCCTCTGGCGACAATTTTGACGTCAAAATAGTTAGTAAACACATCCCCCTACACCGTGAAACCATTTCCAGCACTCTGAGACTACTTTAACAGACTAAAATGACCGTATCAAAATGCCTCAAAAACCGTATCATCTGGTTCCACAATTTCCGATTAATCTTCTGTTTGCCGCGGACGCGATACCTGAAACCTAATCAAAGCTTACGGCGCGGCTGACATTATCATGCTTTCAGGCGCGCGACGTTTCAGGCGCGCGACGTTTCAGGCGCGCGACGTTTCAATACCACTCGTAGGTGGGCACACCAGTGTGACTGGCAGAAAGCAGCATGTTATCGTGGATGAGGTCATGTCCACGATCATCGACGTCATCAGTGGGGCTCCTCAGGGTACTGTCCTAGGTCCCCTTCTCTTCCTCATCTACATTGACGACATCTTCTCCGTAGTCAAGCACAGCAAGATCAAAGTGTTTGCAGATGACTCGAAGCTCCACAAAGATATATCTTCTCATATCGATCGCATCCTTCTCCAAGAAGATCTTCTCTCGGTTGTGAATTGGGCTGATGCTAACAACATGGAGCTTAACGAGGAAAAGTTCCAGCTTCTACAACACGGCAAACTACCGGACTTGAAGCAGCCCTACATCTTACCATCTGGAGAGACTCTTAAGGGCTCTGACCACGTGAAGGACCTGGGTGTCTATATCGACCCAGACCTCAACTGGCGCACTCACATAGCGATGAAGTCTGCCAAAGCCAGAAACATGGCTAGTTGGGTGCTACGCACCTTCATCTCCAGGGATGTAGCGACCATGATGCTCCTGTACAAGTCCTACGTACGATCTCATCTTGAATACTGCTGTCCTCTGTGGTCTCCTCACATGCAGTGCGAAATTATTAAACACGAAGCAGTTCAACGATCCTTCACTGCTAAAATCCAGGGTCTTGGAAATCTCAACTACTGGGAACGCCTCCGTCGCCTGTCTATGTACTCCCTTCAAAGGCGGCGTGAGAGATACACTATCATCCTAGTTTGGAAGATCTATAACAATCTCGCTCCAAACAGCATGAACATCAACTTCCGCGAGACCTCACGATACGGAACTACGTGTATACGACCACTAGGGTCCTCCAAGTACACAAGTGTCAATAACCTGAGGTTCAACTCCTTTGCCTCTAGAGCCTCTGCACTGTACAATGTGGTCCCTCCCGCCATCAAGTCCCTCCTGACCTTGACCACTTTCAAACCCGCTCTTGATACTTTCCTCAATGAATTCCCTGACACTCCACCAACACCTGGGTACACTGGACAGAACAGGAACTCAATGCTGGAGTGGGCCGGTGGCACGTGTCTCTGACACGCTACTACATGGCGGTGGAGATGCAAGACATTCTTGGCCTGGTAGCACTCTAGCTCGGAACCCAACCCAAGTAACCCAAGTAAGTAATAGGTACATTTCATGTACTGGTGTAACAAACGGAGAATTTCGTTTGCTCTTTCATACAGTTTTTTTCTACATTCATCTACTACGAATATTTTTTTATTTTATTTTTTGGTGCAGCACCTACTGACTTGACTCGAAAGAGCAAGCGACTCAATAATACCAAAGAGTCCTACTGAGGCCCAGATGTTTGCGCCACTATCCCGGTAATGCAGAGATACATCTGGTACCATTGCAAGAGCAATGGCAGTTGAGTGGGGGCGCACAGTGGGCAAATCGCAGGCGCCATTATGACATTAAGCTATTTTGTACTTTTCAATGACTAAAATATGTCTACTAAGGGGTTTTTGGCCCAAAAAATCGATTAAAACACTTTTCAGAGTGATTGGGGGGAAGGGGGATGAGATATTCTCATTTTTTGAATTTTTGAAAATTTTGATTTTTTCATAATTTGATGCGCTCATTCATATAGGAGTTTTGGGGTGGTGTTTTAAAGTTCTGATGTGTTTCTTCATGGTTTTATTACAATGAACAAACTTGTTTCTTACATTGTGCTCGATTATATGGACACGTTCAAAAAAAGGTGGCACTAGAGATTGATTTTTTTAAATGCGTTTTAAAAATAGTCATTGTTCTTTGTTGGTTGATATATCTATCTATACCTTTAGAAATTCGATTAAATTTCATGATCCTGAAATCACGGAGTCTCTAGTGCTTATATTACAGGAGTTATCGTTATTTGTGTGCCAATGATTCAAATATCACACAATTAGAAATGCAAGATGAATCAACACTAGATAATCTGAAAAGTACTATTCACAAAGACGTCAAAATTGATATGGTGATTATAATGCATGTAAGGAATGGAATGTCTTATCTGAAATTGTTATTGGTGCCAAAATGATTCAAAAATCACAACTTAAACGTTGGAAATGAGCCTATTTTGAGCAGTGATTATTGAATCATCTTACGTTTTTATTGGCTTTCTATCATTTTTTAGGGTACAAAATAGTATTAAATAGTATTAAAACCAGTTAATATGATTCAAAAATCACATTTTCGTTAAAGGTGCGCTATTAAGTCACACTATAGTAAGCCTTAAATTAAGTGCACGATATGACAATTTATATCCATTCTATGATTCTTATTATGTGATTTTTGAATCCATGTCTAAGCTTATACCATATTGAAGGCCTTTGAGCGATAATTTTTGATCTCGGTGCTTAAATGATTCAAAAATCACACAAATCTGGCTACCAAATATGTAATTTCCTTTAAAGTGTGATAATTGAATCATACGTAATGTTCAAGTTGTAATGACATTTTGAAAGTAAAGGTAATGAATCGATGGTCACATTTCAAAAATCCGATTAAGTATTATATGTTACTGATATGATTCATTTGTCACATTATGGCGACAAAATTATCATGGCTTGAGCTGTAAAAGTACTTGCCTAGTTTACTCAGTTTAAAATCAATTTTTTGTGATTATTGATTCCACTATTACTCTAATAACGAACTTCTCCATGACCATAAACAAGTGTCACAACAAATTACTGCAGATTCATATGAATACCAACCTGATATAGCGCCAAAAAGTGATACATTCCCCTGATACAGCATAATTTCAATACATGCTCATTTATGTGATTTTTGACTCATTATGGCACTTTTAACCATCTAAATTCTCTAAATATTAGTTAGCATGATATAATTGTGATTGATAGAGTTCATTGTTACAATCGTTCCGTTGATATTCACATCACATTCATCATTCTAAAACACTTAGTCAGAATTAACCCTGTGTGTGATAATTGCATCGTAACTCCACATTTAACCGGTGATACTTTGCACTTTTAACACTCAACTATCTCAAAAAGGTTCAATAATCACATTGAGAAGCAGGACACACTCACAGAATGTAAATTCATCATTAGAGGTGCAAGAAATGAATATTTTGTGATTTCTGGCTCATATCTGCACAATTAACAGATATAAAGAGATGAATGACTTAATTAAGTGATATTTGAATCTTTTTGGACCACATATTAAAATTTGGTTAACTTTCATAGCATACTCATTGAGATACAAGTATTTTAAAATGCTTCACACAATTTTGGCAGTGAAAAATCAATCTCTAGTGCCACCTTTTTATGAACGTGTCCCTATGGGTTCACAACAATTTGGTATGAATATTTTTCAATTCCAAACACAAGAAAATATATTGTTCTATTCCCTATATAAACATGTGAGGTCACATTCAGGCTTATCAAATGTATTAGGGTTGGCCACCTTTAACTCAGCGTGGCCAATCCTTCAGTAGAGCGGTAGATGAGGATATTAATCCAGTGATTCAGTAACCAGCGATCGTTTTCACCGACGGGCTCATTGCAATACTGTAAAATTAAACAATTGATTCATAAAGATATGCCTCATCACATACTGTCGGTAAACTGTTTAATAAGTGCAATGTAAAATAGTGTTCTGATCTGTTTCAAATCTATAGCTATCATACAAAAATATTGTCACAGACATATACAATGATCTTTATGAGTGTACACTATACATCATATAATAC